CGGGCCGCGCACGCACAGAAGGTCGCTCTTGCCTCGGGCCAGTCCTGCGCGCAGCCGAGCGCAGCCTGAAGCACCGAAGACGTCGGGAGTCCGTGGGCGAGAATCCCACACCTCCGGCGCCCCGCTTTTGGGGCTCAGAGACGGTGGCGCGGGGTCCCCCGAGCCCTCGACCCTTGCGCCCCACCCCTCGTGCGGACTCCCGCGCCCGGCCCCGGGGGGGGGCCCCGAGCCTGTTCTCCGAGGGGGCCCAGGCTCGGAAGCACCGGCCGCCTCGAACTTTTGCCAGGGCGCCGGAGGCCTGGCCCGTGGCGCCGGCAGCGTTTCGATATCTCATACGCGCAGGCATCCGCATCGTCGGAGCGCGCCCGAGCAGCAGCGCTCGGGTGTTTCGGCTCCTGCCTGGGCCCGCCGTCACAGCGCGAGCGACTTCTGCATCGGAGCTTTTGCACAGAACAGTACCCTCCCCTCCTTCAGCTGGGTGTCCTCCTCCTCCTCCTCGTCATCATCAGCAGCAGCATCATCCTCATCTTCACCCTTACATTTGCATGTGCGTTTCCCCAAGCTCCTCCCCCTTCTCCTCCCATCTGAATTCACCCTTCCTCCTCCTCCTCCTCCTCCTCCTCCTCCTCCTCCTCCTCCTCCTCCTCCTCCTCCATCCATCATCATCATCTCATCATCATCATCATCATCAATCCTGTCCTCCTCCTCCTCCTCCTCCTCCTCCTCCTCCTCCTCCTCCTCCTCCTCCTCCTCCTCCTCCTCCTCCTCCTCCTCCTCCTCCTCCTCCTCCTACTCCTACTCCTCATTCTCCTCCTCCTCATCCTCCTCTCACCTGGGTTTACTTCTCCTCCCCCCCGCTTCTGATCCTTCGCCCCCTCCTACCTGCGGCCTCTTCACTCCCTGTCGCACCCCCAGACGTGTCTGTAGGACGGGCCTGGTGTTTCGCCTGAGATCTACACGGCATGTGTGATCCCGAAGGTTCAAATTTGCAGCAGCTTCACAAACGGAGGAGCGGGTCCTTTTCAAAAGGTGGATCTCGCCTTAATTAGCGCTGCGCACATTCATCTTAATTGTTGCAGGTTTACGGGTGGTCTTCAAAATGTGGTTCTTGCTTTAGGGTTTACGGCCGAGCACCATCGTTTTAAAAGTTTGGAGCAAGTTCACGACTGGAGGGCAGGTCTTTTTCAAAATGATGTTCTCGCGTTAGCGCCGCGCACATCCGGGAGAAAGCTACAGAAAAATTAGGTGTCTGGGGTAATACAAAAATGCGTGTTCGGGGTTAGCCAAACTTGCCCCGAGCCAAGAAGAATTATTCTAGGGCACGCCGTGTGAGACATCCTCAAGCATCGCCCCAAAGTCTGGCCTGGCTGGCTGGTTGGTTGGCTGGCTGGCTGGCTGCCAGGTGAGAACATCTATTGTAGTGGCCTTCGGCCAGTGCCGCCGATCCGGGGCGCTCCGACTGATGTGATCCTTCTTCGCCCTCGTCCCTCCTCTCTTTTTCCCTCCCCTCCTCTCACTCAGCATTTATCGAAGACGCCTACGGCGAATCACCGCCGCCCCCTGCCTTTTTGGAAACGCCGATGTGGCCGAAAGTTGGACTAGAGCTTGGCCAAGCTATCGGACCATGAGTTCCCCGAGTCGGTTTGGAAAGCTTTCGGGGAACACATGGGAGAGAATGATTATGAACAGGAAGAGGAAGAGGAAGAAATAGAGTAGGAGGATGAGGGTTGTTAGGAGTCTCTTGGGGCACCCTTGGGGTCTGTTGGGGGCTTCTTGGGGGCCTCTTCGAGGCCTCTTGGAGGCATCTTGGGGGCCTCCTTGGGCCTCTTGGGGGCCTTTGGGGGCTTCCTGGGGGTCTCTTTGGCCGTCTTAGGGCGTTCCTGGTCCGTCTGACGCCGTCTGGAGCCGTCTTGGGGGCCTCTCTGGGCCGTCTTGGGGCCCTCTTGGGGCGCTTCAGGGCCGTCTTGGAGGCCATGTTGGGCGTCTTGGAGGCCTCTTGGGCCGTCTTGGGGCGCTCTTGGGGCCGTCTTGGGGGGCCCTTGGGCCGTCATAGGGCCTTCTTGGAGGCCTCTTGGGCGATCTTGGGGGCCTCTTGGGCCGTCGGAAGGCCGAAAAGAAGAAAACGCAAAAAACCTTCAAAAACCTAAGGAAAACCAATGATTTTGGCCTCTTCGGGCTCTCCTGGAGAACGTCTTGGAGGCCTCTTGGGCCATCTTGGAGGCATCTTGGGGCCATCTTGGCCGTCTTGGAGGGCATCTTGGGCCGTCTTGGAGGCATCTTGGAGCCATCTTAGCCGTCTTAGAGACCATCCTGGCCGTCTTAGAGGCATCTTGGAGGCCATCTTGGAACCGTCTGGGGCAGGAAATTGGGGAATTGAGCTCCTGGGCATCCTTTCCGGGTGGCCGGCGGGACGGGCCGAAGCCCACTGGGGAGTTCTTTTAGAAAAAGAACCAAAACCAAAACCGATAAAATCTAACACGCCAGGCACCCCTGCAAGCAGGGGGCGGCGGATCGAAGACGCCTACGGCGAATCACCGCCGCCCCCTGCCTTTGTGGAAGCGCCTATGTGGCCGAACGTTGAGGCCAGACCTGCCAAGCCATCGGACCATGTGTTCCCCGAATCGGTTTGGAAAGCCTTCGGGGAACACGTGGGCGTCTTGATGGTCATCGTCGCCGTCTTGGAGGCCTCTTGGGCGATCTTTCGGCGATCTTTGGGGGCTCTTGGGCCGTGTCGGGCCGTCGGAAGGCCGAAAAAAGGGAAATGCCCAAATCCATCAAAAACCTTGGGAAAATCAGTGATTTTGGCATCTTTTGGCCTTCCTGGAGGCCCTCTTGGGGGCCTCTTGGGCCCTTTTGGGCCAGCTTCGAGCCAACTTCGGCCATCTTGGTGGGTTCCTGGCACGTCTGACGCCGTCGGGAGCCGTTTTGGGGGCCTTTCTGGGCCAACGGGGGACCCTCTTGGGGCGCTCCAGGGCCGTCTTGGAGGCCATCTTGGGCGTCTTGGAGGCCATCTTGGGCGTGTTGGAGGCCTCTTGGGCCGTCTTGGGGCCCTCTAGGGGCCATCTTGGAGGCCACTTGGGCCATCAGGGGGCTCTCTTGGGGGCCTCTTGGGCGATCTTGGGGGCTTCTTGGGCCGTCTTGAGCCGTCGGAGAGCCGAAAAGGCGCAAATGCCAAAATCCTTCAAAAACCAAGGGAAAATCAATGATTTTGCCTCTTCGGACTCTCCTGGAGGACCTCTTGGAGGCCTCTTGGGCCGTCTGGGAGGCCTCTGGGGGGCCTCTTGGGCCGTCTTGGGCCGTCTTGGACTCTCTTGGGCCGTTTTGGAGGCCGTCTTGGACCATCTCGGGCGGACTTGGAGGCCATCTTGGGCCATCTTCGCGATTTTTTGAGGATGTCCCGAGCGAAACGGCCGTTTTTGGGCACGGTGGCGGGACGAGCCGGAGCCCACTGGGGAGTTCTTTTGGAAAAAGAACCAAAACCAAAACCTGAAACATCCAGCACGCCGTGCACCCCTGCAAGCAGGGGGCGGCGGATCCAGTGGCCGTCGGCCTATCCCGCCACCGTGCGTGGGTGGTGGGTCAGAGGCCTCATGGATGCTGGTTGGGATCTCGTGGTTGGCTGGGACTTCTGGGGGCCTCTTGGGCGCCTCTTGGGGCTTCTTGGGGGCCTCTTGGGGGGGCCACTAGAGGGCCTCTTGGGGGTCTCTTGGGAGCCTCTTGGGGCTTCTTGGGGGCCTCTTCTGCGCCCCTTGGGGGCCTCTTGGAGGCCTCCTCGGAGCCTCTTGGTGCGGGAGGGGTGGTACTCGAGTTCAGAACCCCCTCGGAGGCCACGATCCTTGTGAGGGGTGTCAAAAAACGCATCCGCCGGAAACTCGCACCCCCCCCCCCACCCCCCCTTCCCCGGCAGAGCCACCCCGGCAACCCCCCCAGAGGCTGAGGCTCAGCCTCGAGGCTGTAGCTGAGACTCCTTGAAACTCACACGCCGGATCGGCGGATTTCTGGAGTGATTGATTGGTTGGTTGGTTGGCTGGTTGCCGAATCAAAAACATATGATCCTGGCCCCGCTTTGCGGTGCATCCTCAAAAACACCACGGAGAGGACTGGTTGGTTGGTTCGTTGGTTGGTTGGTTAGTTGGTTGGCTGGTTGGTTGGTAGGCTGGTGGTTGGGAGGTAGGCTGGTTTGTTAGTTGATCTGCTTGCTGGTTGGCCATTTTGGCGTTTGCTGGTGGTCAACTCGCTTTCGGCTTGTCTGTAAACCAAATGTCGTGCAATTGCGAGCGCAATGCAACGCAATGCGCAGCACTGAAATACCCGCCTCCTCCTCCTCGTCCTCCGCCTCCTCTTCCTCTTCCTCCTCATCCTCCTCCACCTCCTCCTCCACCTCCTCCGCCTCCTCCTCCTCCTTCTCCTCTCCTCCTCCTCCTTCTCCTCCTCCTCCTCCTCCTCTTCCTCCACCTGCTCCACCTGCTCCACCTCCTCCTCCTCCGCCTCCTCCTCATCCTCCTCCTTCTCCTCTGTCTCATCTTTCTACTCTTCCGCCTCCTCCTCCTCCTCCTCCTCCTCCTCCGCCTCCTCCTCCTTTTCCGCCTCCTCATCCTGGTCATGCCAGCTTCCCTCCTCCTCCTCGTAATTTCCCTGCCACTTCCACCTCACACGCGCACACCTTGCCTCTCCTCATCCCCGAGGCCAGGAGGGCGAAGCGAGGAGAGCTGAACCTCGCCATCGCGCGGGCGCGGGGTGCTCTCCTCCTAGCAACGACGACGAAAATGACGAGGACGAGCACGATGACGAAGACGACGACGACGACGTCGACGACGAGGACGATGACGAGGACGACGACGAGGACGACGACGACGAGGGCGACGACGGCGACGACGACAACAGCGACGACGACGACGACGACGACGGCGACGACGACGACGACGAGGACGACGACGGCGACGACGACGACGACGACGACGAGGACGAGGACAAGGCGGTAATTGTGGCCTGCTGGACAGGCGAACGCGTGGACCGCTACAAGGGCAGCTTTTCCGCCAGTGTGCTCCGTGGGCCTGGCACCTTCACGCGCGCGGCTCGGCACGGTCGTCGTCGGCCTCGGCGTCGGCGTCGTCGGAAGTGGCGTTGTCGCAAGGTGAGGATGAGGATGGAGCAAGGTGTGGGGGAAGGGAGCAGGGAGAGTAGCAGACCCTAAGGGGGGGAAGAAGAGAGGAGATGACGAGGCAGTAGGGTAAAGAGTTGGAGGAGTAATAGAGGAAAGGGAATCTGGGATTCTGGGTCTGGCGCGACACGAGACTGGCGCGTCCCATGAACATACGAGCACGAGGAACAATGTACACCAGGGATCCCGTCAAGGGACTGGAATAAAGTTACTTTGAAAGACAGTTCCCACGAGACGGACATCACCAAGTATGAATTCTGTCCTAGGGTGTCGCCCGTCCGTCAAATGTTGGAGGCGCTATTTCTGAATTCCAGATGAAGGTTTCTTAAGGCAAGACCGAGTAAGGCGGGATACGTTGGTCCACGATTGTGCTCCACGTTGGCGACGTTATGCACATTGTCCCACTCGTCACACAAAGTAATCGGTTCCGTGTGGCATAGGGCATGGTTGCGTCGCCAGTTCCCATCGGTGTTTACTGAAAGACAAACAATACTTGCACCTAGAGAGAGAGAGAGAGATATACAGGGCTCGCTGTCGGTGCCGCCGCGGCCTGTGTGCATTTGAGACAGAAGGCCGCCTGCCCAACAGCGGCCGCTGTTGGCTTGGGGTAACATCTGTTGTTGGGCATTGTACCCATTCTTTCCGTACCCATTTCGGGCGTCCAAAGATGAAGGGAGGAGGGCGTGGATAACGCTGGGGAGGGAGAAGGAAGTCTGGGGGCGTGTGCTGGGACTTCCGTCCCGAGGCGCACGGGCCGGGCTCCACGGCGGGGCGGCTCTCCTGTGTCTCCGCGCCGCGGTGCCCTCCCCTCGCTGCGGGGTTAAGTCAGGGCCTGTCCCTCCACAGGAGGAATCTTCAAGACTAGTCCGAAATAGTCTGTGGGCGATGTTTTCGGTATTGTTTGACTCTTGTGCTGCCTCGTTTGGCTATTTTTGATCGTGCGTCCAAGATTCGCCTGTGGGAGGACATGCCCGACCTAACCCTGGGGCCCGACAACGGGCGTTTGGAAACCGAAGCCGCAGAAAGATCGCTGTCGCGACTTTGTCTGCGACTCCCAGATATGAGGCGGCGTTTCTGTAGATGCAGGCAAGCGTACTTTCATGGCAGTCCCTCCCCCCCCTCCGCCCCCTTCTCGATCGGCGCCGGGTCGAACGAGCGTGCAGGTGTACTCCAGACTTCCGTGCGGGCCTCGCCACGCATCCCCCCCCCCTCCATGCAAGCAAACCTGCCTGCATCAGGGCCCGTGTCGGGCCGCGGGTCCCCCCCCCCGCGTTCCTCGGGTGGCCGTTTGGCGGCACTTCCCCACGCTTGGCCGCAGTAAAAGGTGTCCCGCGCGCGTCGGAGGGGCAAGGGGTCTCCCCTCTCCCTGTCGGAGGACGGCGTGCCTCCACGAGGGCCCGCCCCCCCCCTGCCTCACACGTTGGCAGACGTTTGCCCTGCCCGAGCCACTGGCCCCAGACGCCGGCCCGCCTCCGCCGCTCGCGACGGGCACCGCGGTGAGCACCGCAGCGACCAGCCTTGGCCCAGCAACATGCAGCAGCCTCTCCTCGGCGCGCCCCCGCTCTCCTCGGGCAGGGACGGGAGGGCGCCAGCCATGCACAGCCACAAGTGTTCAGTCGGGCACGTCCCTCCCCTCTACAGGCGGCATCTCCAGAAATAGCCCAAAAAATAATATGGGGACGATCTGTTGCTATTCCAGGCCATTTGGGAATATGTTTTGTTCATTGGTTATTTGTAGTCCAAAATCCGCCTTCAGGGGGACATGCCCGACCCAACACAGATGCGGAGAGCGCTCGTCCTCCCTCTGAGCACGCGCCGCCACCACTGCCGCACTACGGGTCGCCCCGATGGGGGTCCGAGCAGATGGGGTCGGAGGAGCGTGCCGCCCCGCCGGGGCATCGGCGATGCGGCTCGATGTGGATCCGACGTGTTCTCACGCCGACGTCGCCGGTACGTCGCCGACGTCGCTGGTGCATCGGCGGTGCATCGGCGATGCATCGGCGATGCATCGGCGATACAGCGCGATCATCCGACCCCAGCCACTCCGACCCCATCTGGGAGGCCCATTTCGCGCGCGGGCCTGCCTACATTTTGTATCGAAGACGCCTGCGGCGAATCACCGCCGACCCCTGCCTTTTTGGAAGCGCCTATGTGGCCGAACGTTGAGGCCAGACCTGCCAAGCTATCGGACCATGTGTTCCCCGAATCGGTTTGGAAAGCCTTCGGGGAACACGTGGGCATCTTGAAGGTCATCTTGGCCGTCTGGAGGCCATTTTGACCCTTTCGGGCCTTCTTGGAGGACGTCTTGGAGGGCTCTTGTTCCGTCTTGGAGGCCATGTTGAGCGTCTTGGAGACCTTTTGGGCCGTCTTGGGGGCTTCTTGGGGCCGTGTCTTGGGCCTCTTGGGCGATCTTTGGGGGCACTCGGGCCGTCTCGGGCCGTCGGAAGGCAGAAAAAAAGCAGATGCCACAATCCTTCAGTAACCCATGGAACATCAATAATTTTGGCCTTTTCGGCCCTTCCTGGAGGCCCTCTTGGAGGTGTCTTGGGCCATCTTAGGGCCATGTTCGGCCGTCTTGGTGGGCTCCTGGTCCGTCTGACGCCGTCGGAAGCCGTTTGGGGGGCTTCTATGGGCCGACGCGGGGCCCTCTTGGAATGCTCCAGGGCCGTCTTGGAGGCCATCTTGGGCGTCTTAAAGGCCTCCTGTGCCGTCTTGGGGGCCTCTTGGGGCCGTCTTGGGGCCCTCTTGGGCCGTTCTGGGGCCATCTTGGAGGCCTCTTGGGCGATCTTTCGGCGATCTTTGGGGGCTCTTGGGCCGTCTCGGGCCGTCGGAAGGCCGAAAAGAAGCACATGCCAAAATCCTTCAAAATATTAGGAAGATCCATGTTTTTGGCCTCTTCTGGTCTTCCTGGAGGCCCTCTTGGGGGCCTCTTGGGCTTGTTGGGCCAGCTTCGAGTCAACTTCGGCCACCTTGGTGGGTTCCTGACACGTCTGACGCCGTCTGGAGCCGTCTTGGGGGCCTTTCTGGTGGTCATCTTGGGCGTCTTGGAGGCCTCTTGGGCCGTCTTCGGGCCCTCTTGGGGCGGTCTTGGGGGCGTCTGGGCCCGTCATGGGGCCATCTTGGAGGCCTCTTGGGCGATCTTGGAAGCCTCTTGGGCCGTCTTGGGCGGTCGGAAAGCCGAAAAGGCGCAAATGCCACAATCCTGCCAAAACCTATGGAAAATCAATGATTTGGGCCTCGTCGGGCCTTTCTGGAGGACCTCTTGGAGGCCTCTTGGGCCGTCTTGGAGGCCTCTTGCGGGCCTTTTCGGCCGTCTTAGACCATATTGAGGCCATCTTGGGCCGTCTTGGATGCATCTTGGGGCCATCTTAGCCGTCTTGGAGGCCATCTTCGCTGTCTTGAAGGCATATTGGAGGCCATCCTGGGCCATCTTGGCCGTCTTGGAGGCCATCTTGGGCCAACTTGGGGCAACAAAGGCGTTGACAGACGGATTTTCGGGAATCTCCCGGGACCCCGGCGGGACGCGCCGGAGCCCCAGGGGGAGTTCTTTTAGAAAAAGAACCAAAACCAAAACCGAGAGGATTCGGCACGCCAGGCACCCCTGCGATGAATCGACAGGGGGTGGCGGATCGAATGGCCTTCGGCCCATCCCGCCACCGTGCTTGGGTCGTGGGTATGAAGCCTATTGGATGTTCGTTGGGATCTCGTGGGAAGCCTCTCGAGGGCCTCTTGGATGCAGGTTGGAGGCCTCTTGGGGTCAGTTTTGGTACCCTTAAGGGCTTTTGGGGGGCCACTTGGGGGTCTCTTGGAGCCTTTTCGGGCGACTTAGGGGCTCTTGGGGCCTCTTGGGCGCCTCTTGGGGCCTTCTGGGGGCCTCTTGGGGCGGAAGCCTCGGATTTTAAATTCGTGTTCCCTCTCCTGGGCCGCTTGTGGGTTCGTTTTGGGGCCCTCTTGGGCCATCTTGGACGTCTCTTAGGCCGTCTTGGAGCGCTCTTAGGCCGTCTTGGGGGGCCCTCTTGGAGGCCTCTTGGGCCGCCTTGGGGTGGTCTTGGGGGCCTCGTGGGCCGTCGTGGAGCGTTCAAAACCCGAAAAGGCGAGAACACCAAAATCCTTCAAAAACAAATGGAACATCAAAAATCTGGGTGCCCTCTTGGGAGGCCCCTTGGCGCGTCTTGGAGGCCTTTTGAGCCATCTTGAGGCCATCTTGGGCGTCTTGAAACGATCTTTCGGCGACTCGGGGCCCTCTTGGACTGGCTTGGGGGCCTCGTGGAGCCCTCTTGGCCCGTCCTGAGGCCCCCTTGAGCCCGAAAAGGTCACGCGACGCGAGCAGCCCCGAGAGGTGTCCCGATGTGGTATCTCGCCCCTTTCAAAGACTCCTCCTCCTCCTCCTCCTCCTCCTCCTCCTCCTCCTCCTCCTCCTCCTCCTCCTCCTCCTCCTCCTCCTCCTCCTCCTCCTCCTCCTCCTCCTCCTCCGTTGGAAAGACTCCTGAGGAGCGAGGGCTGAGGCTCCGGGGACTGGGGAAAGGACCCGGGAGCGGGCCCCTTCCGTGCCCCGTGGCGTGGGGGCGGCCGCGGGTCTTCCCGGGTGCCTCCCGGCTCGCTGGGGCGCCTGCCGTGGGCACCGCCATATCCCGCGTGCGGCCCCTTGATGTTCCGCGCGTGGGCCCAATCAGGTTTTGGCTCTTAAGTCTCAATGTAGATCGGGACTGGGGATGGTGAGCAGGAGCTGACGGAGGAGGAGGAGGAGGAGGAGGAGGAGGACGATGAGGAGGGGAAGGAGGAGGAGGACTGGGGCGGAGCCTGATGTTCCACGTGTGGGTCCAATCAGGTGTTGGCTGTTACGTCTCGTTGTAGATCGGGACTGGGGCGGTGCATCGGTGTCCTTAGCTGCCTCGATGCGCCCGTTTTGATACGCAATGCGTCCCGTGTTCAAGACGTCCCTGTCGATGCGTTGCGTGTTGGCTCCACGTATTGGGCCACGTCTTGGCGAATGTATCGCGTCGGACCTACGTTTTCAGCCTACGTGTTGAGCTCCGTATCAATACGCTACGTGTTGCGTGTTGCGTAACGGGGCAGCTAAGTCGGTGTCAGATCTCTGGGCATCCCGCTACAGTGCAGAACAACCGCAGGCGGATGATCATGATGGTGATGGTGAGCAGGAGCTGACGGACGAGGAGGACGAGGAGGAGGAGGACGAGGGGAAGGAGGAGGGGAAGGAGGAGGAGGAGGAGGAGGAGGAGGAGAGGGAGAAGGAGGACGAGGAGGAGGAGGAGGACGAGGAGGGAGGGGAGGGAGGAGGAGGACTGGGACGAAAATGGCAAGGACGAAGCTGGAGACCCGGAGCCCAGCTCTGCCTGCGGAGCCTGCGCTCCGGCGGCCGAGGCCCTGGGCCAGAGAGCCTCGGCCTCTGTGAGCCTCCAGCGGGCTGTTTTTCAACCGGCGAGCGCCTGGGACGGAGCCCTCGACCTCTCACCCAGGATTTCTTTTCAAGTCGGACGTGCCCCCCTCCAGAGGGATCTTCGACGAAAGATAGAAATAGACCCCGAAAACGATTAAAAGATAGTCCAAAAATAGTCGGGGGACTATTTTTTGAGTATTTTTGTTGATCTTCTTGGTGTATTTTGGGGGGTAAGTTTTATTTTTCGTCGAAAATGCCCCCTGTAGGGGGACACGCCCGACTTAAGATTAATTGTGATCATTGTTTCAATCACTGTTCTGCAGATCGGCGCGGGCCCTCGCACCCCCCCTCCCCGCCCCCCGTGGAGCGGACCTTGGCTGTCCTTGGCGCCTGCTTCGAGCGGGCGGAGTCTCCCCCCACAATGGACGCACCGCTGCAAACAGCCGCACCAAGCAGAGGTCCAGAGCCGGACCCCCCCCCTCCTCCCCCTTCCGCCCGGTGTCGACATGCCGACAAAGAGAACGCCCCCCTTCTGTGCCCCCGAGCATGTATTCAGGCGGTCCCGGTGCTCCCCAGGTGCCAGAGTCTAGGGCAGAGGCGCCGGGATCGAGCGAAGGGAGCCGCCGGAGGTCTGGGCTTGGGCCTGGGCCCGACCTCAAGGTCGGACGATCTCTGCCTGCTTCCGTGCCAGGCTGCGCCCCGTACGCCCCCCCCCCCTGCGGTGGGCGGCGTGGGGTTCGCCCAAGGCTCCTGGAGGGAGCGGGGGGGAGCGGGCAACGAGCAGCACACAAGCGATAGGCTTATGTCGGGCGTGTCCCCCTACAGGGAGATTTTCTATGAAAAATAAAAGATACTCCAAAAATACCCCAAAAAGGCCAAAAATACCAAAAACAAAAGTAGTCCCCAGACTATTTTGAGCCAATTTTTTTATTATTTTGAGGGTATGTTTCATTTTTCGTCGAAAATCCACCTGTAGTGGGACACGCCCAACATAGTGATAGGGTTCAAGGTAGGAAAAACCACCCCGGACCAGAGAATCGGCGTTTACTGAACGGCCCTGGGCGTTTATCGACTACGCGTAAGAGTGACCCTTCGCCGGAGTGACCCTTGGTGCGGGCCCACTGGGGTCTCCCGATCGCCGAGCGCGGTGCGGTGGCAGCGTCTTGCGCGCTTGTGTTTGGTCCCCCCGCGGCCCCCCAGAAGCCGCGCACCAAAGGTCACTCTTACCCAGGGTCACTCTTGCGTGTAGTCGGGTTTACTAAACAGCCCTGCCTTGTTTGATTCCTTATTTGGGCGCGTTTGCTAAACGGCTTCTCGTGCCGGGGTGGTTGTTATCAGGGTGGATTTTCTGCCCTCTAGGGATGGCTCGAGCGCGGTCGGGCGCCCGCGGTTCGCTGAGGTGGGCAGAGGGGGACACTCTCTCGGGCATGTTCGAGGACGGCTACTGCAACAGCGTCGGGCGGAAGGTGTCTTCCGCCGCTGCCGCTGCCGCTGCTCATCCCTGCGGAGCTGGGATCTGGCGCGGGGGCATGGCCGAAGGCGTAGACCAGTGCCCGTGGCACTCGAATGACGACCAGGGAAAATCCAGAATGCATCAACGAACGATGCTGCAGCACATCCTCCCGTCCCAGGCCCCCTCCTTATCATGCGCTCCCTACAAGCAGTCCTCTTCACTGCACGAAGCGCCCGCTTTGAAAGACGAACGCCCCGCTGGCCCTCAATTCAGGCGGGAGCTCTGTTAACATAGAACCAGCCGTCCATCCTCCGAGCTCGAATGAAGGCGACAAGGTGGGGTTGTACAGTTTAGACAAGTGCCGAGCGACAGTCCCGCCTTGACCCATCCGTGCAAGCAGATATCTACACGTCTGGTCATCAACGAATGCTTAAGATGTGCCGTGCGAGAGCCCATTGTTGAAAAGGGACCGTCACCGACACATGTCACTGTTTGCGCCGATGTGTCCACATGTCTGAGGAAGTCTCAGGCGAGAGTCCCGTGATGAAGCGAGCCGCCAGAGCAGCATTTTGAAAACGACTCGCCTTCAAGACGAGCGTGCGTGGCGCCAACGCGAAAGCCTAATATTACAAACGACCTGCCATCCATCCTCGTGACTGTTGGATAGTGCAGGAGACGACTATGTCCGACGCCAATGTCAGAGCCTCACTGTTGTTACGGACCGCACTCCATCCGTGTAATTACCGAGTCGTTTACGGCGAGTGTCCTCAGCGCCTAGACGAGAGCCCAATCCTTGACGCTTCGCGCGCCCCCCACCAGCCCATCAAACAGCGATGTCCAGGCGAATTGCATTGATCAGGGAAGTTAGCGAGCATACAGGGAGGGAACCGTCAAAGCGAAATCTGGGATCAGCCTGAATAGGCCCAGAAGTGAAACACAAATGTGCCTTCGTCGACCTGTCGAATGAGGAAGGGCGGAGGAGAAGGATGAGGAGGCGGGAGGAGGAAGAGGAGGAGAGGAGGACGAGGAAGAAAATGGAGAATTGGGAGGAGCAGGAAGAGGAAGGCGAACAGAAGGAGGATGAGCTTGATTGAACAGTTCTCACTCAACTTCTGGCCAACTCTGGTTGGGAGGAGGAAGAGGAGGAGGAGGAGGAGGAGGAGGAGGAGGAGGAGGAGGAGGAGGAGGTGGACGAGGTGGAGGTGGAGGAGGAGGAGCAAAAAGAGGAGGATAAGGAGCGTGGAGGAATGGGGGGAGGCGGAAGAGGAGGAGGAGGAGGAGGAGGAGGAGGATGTGGGAGAAGGCGATGGTGACGATAACTACGACGATTCCAACATAAATGCAGTTGTGCACCTTTGCTCTGGGAGCCTCTTGGAGGCCTCTTAGAACGATCTCGGGACCCTCTTGGGGCAATTTTGTGAGTTGCTGGGGCTCTCTGGGGGGCGTCTTGGGGCCCTCTGGGAGGCCCCGGGGGCCTCCTGGGGCCACCTTCGAAGACCTCGATGAAACAGGGGGGGGTCCTCGATTACGGCTGCACGCCTCGAGCCCGCAACCATCAGGAGCCAGAGCGATGAGGCAGAGCGAGAGGCAAAGACATGCAGGCTCCTCATGGTTTGGAAGCGTCTTGGCCTCTCGGGGGCCTCCCTACGGAGCTCCGTGGCCACTTGGAGCCGTCCTGGAGCGGTCGTGGGGCCTCTTGGGGGCATATTGGCGGCCAGTTTGGGATATCTGGAGCACTCTTGGAGGCCATTTTGGATTCTTCTGCGCCCATCTTGGAGCCGCGCTGGCCCAAAAGCATCGCAAGGATCCCCCCGAGATGCCAAAATCGTTGAAACACAATGAATGTTCAGTTATGTTGGTTTTGAGCGCAAGGGGGTCCCTAATTGGGCATGCCCCTCTTGTTCACGTGGCCCTCTCAGGACCGTCTCGGAGACCTCGTGGGCCCCATCTTGAGGCTCCAAGAGGCCACAAGAGGACCCCAAGAGGGCCGCCAGAACACGATGAACAATCAAACAGCAAATGATGTCGTCTGGTTTGGGAGCATTTTGGGTACCGGTTTAGTTCAGGGTGGCTCCGAGAGGGTTCGGGAGCCGACGATGAGAGCCCCAAGGGTCCCCAAGATGGCCCAGTATTGCCGCAGGGGGACCCCACGAGGGCAGAAGAGGGCCCCCCGAGGATACCAGGACGGCCCCACGGTGGCCCACAAGTGCTCCGAGGTGTCTCGAGAAGGCTCCACGACGCCCCCACGAGAGCCCAGGTGGACCCCAAGTGGCTCCAAAATTGCACACGAAAGGGCCCACAGGGGATTCCAACAACTGGCCCCCGGGGCCACACGGCGGCCCAGCGATGGCCTCACGAGAGCCCCACGACGGATGACGCGGCGGAGGAGGTGGTGGAGGAGGTGTAAGATGAGGAGGAGGAAAATCGTCCCACCTGTCCAACCCGATTCAACCGCATCATCATTATCATTCTTACCAGCAATGTTCTGAAAAGAGCACTGTGGTCTCCACCTCCTCCCAGCTCCCTCCTTGGCTCTCTCTCTCTCTCTCTCTCTCTCTCTCTATATATATATAAATATATATATATATATATATATATATATATGGATTCCCTCTTGTCTGGTACCTCTATCTACCTTGCCCCGAACCTCGCCATCCATGGGGGGCGGCAATCTGCGAGAAGACGGTCGCCACTTTCGAGGGCTGCTGGAGGGGACAGAACAGTAGGGCCCAATTCGGATTCAGACTAGACCTCGCCATCCCTGGGTGGCTGCGATCTGCGAGACAGTCGCCACTTTCGAGGGCTGCTGGAGGGGCCACCAGCGCAGTAGGGCCCCTTTCGGATTCAGATCAGATCTCGCCATCCCTGGGCAGCTGCGATCTGCGAACAGGCGGCACTTTCGAAGGCTGCTGGGGGGGCCAGCACAGCGGGGCCCCATTCGGAGTCAGATCAAACCTCGCCATCCCTGGGTAGCTGCGATCTGCGAGACGGTCGCCACTTTCGAGGGCTGCTGGAGGGGCCACCAGCGCAGTAGACTGGATCTCGCCATCCCAGGGCAGCTGCGATCTGCGAACAGGCGGCACTTTCGAAGGCTGCTGGGGGGGCCAGCACAGCGGGGCCCCATTCGGAGTCAGATCAAACCTCGCCATCCCTGGGTAGCTGCGATCTGCGAGACGGTCGCCACTTTCGAGGGCTGCTGGAGGGGCCACCAGCGCAGTAGACTGGATCTCGCCATCCCAGGGCAGCTGCGATCTGCGAAACTGTCGGCACCTTCGAGGGAGGCTGGGGGGGCCAGCACAGTGGGACCCCATTCGGATTCAGACTAGACCTCGCCATCCCTGGGGGGGGGGGACTGTCGGCACTTTCGAGGGCTGCTGGAGGGGGGGGGGGCACCAGCACTGGGGCCCCATTCGGATCCAGATTAGACCTCGCCATCTCTGGGGGAGGGGTATTGTGAAACTGTCAGCACTTTCGAGGGCTGCTGGGGGACGCAGTAGGGCCCCAACCTGATTCAGATTAGACCTCGCCATCCCTGGGGGGGTGCGATTTGCGAAACCGTCTGCACTTTCGAGGGCTGTTGGGGGGCCAGCACAGTGGGACCCCAGTCGGATTCAGACTCGCCATCCGAAGGGGGCTGCGATCTGCGAGACGGTCGGCACCTTCGAGGGCTGCTGGGGCGGCCAGCACAACGGGGCCCTACCCAGATTCAGAGTATGCCTCGCCATCCCTGGGGGGGCTGCCATCTGCGAAACTGTCGCCACTTTCGAGGGCTGCTGGGTGGCCAGCTTAGTCGGTGCTGCTGCGCAGATCAGAACTGGACCTCGCCATCTCCCGGGGGCTGGGAACTGCGAACCTGTCGCCCTTTTCGAGGGCTGCTGGGGGCTCCAGTGGAGCGTTGATGTCTTACGCAGATTCAGGTTAGATCTCGCCCTCCCCGAGGACTGCGATCTGCGAAACGGTCGCCACTGTCGAGGGCTGCTTGGGGGGTGGTGCAGCTCTGTGCGGTCCTGCGCAGATCAGCGCCGGAACCCGCCATCTCCGGGGGGCTGTTGGGGGCTCCAGTGGAGTGACGTCTTAAGCAAGTTAAGGTTAGGCCTCGACATCCCTGGGGAGGGAGACTGCGATCGGCGAGACAGTCGGCACTTTCACAGTTGGGGTCTTACGTAGATTCAGATTCGACCTTTCCATCCCTGGGGGGATCCGCGAAATTGTCGCCACTTTCGAATACTGATTGCTGGCAGACTTCGAAACACCATCTCCATCCTTCCTCTGACCGCCTTTTGTCGTCACTTTCGTGCTGCTGCCATGTCCGAGTGCTGCTGCCCCACTTACGTTTCAAACTCCCTGTCTGCCTTCTCCCATTAGTCCTCGCCCCTCTTTCCCCTCGACCCAGGGAACTAACTGATCACCTCCAACAGGCCCTGTGTCCATTGATCGGTATCCTGCGGGCCGCGCACCTCGCGAGCCTCCTACATACCATTCGCAGAACATGTATCCCCTTGCCACGTTGCCACCCCCTATAAGGTCTGCCCAGACTGCCCAGCTGTTCTGGATATGCGTTGCGCCAGGGCTGGGCACATCGTCAGGGTAACTGGTCTGCTCCGTATTATGATGACTCGTCCTCCTTCTCTGACTTGTCATCATCCTCATCGTTTTCACCTTCCTCCCACTATTTCCTCCTCCCTCCCATCAGTCCCCTCCCTCCCTCCTCACTCATTCCTCCTCCCACCTCCCTCATCATCTCTCCTCCTGGCTCCTTCCTCCATTCCTCCCCCCGCTGGAACCGCCTCCCCCCCGTTCGCCGACCACTGGCTGGTGGAGAACGCGGGGAATGGGGCGCAGTCGCAGGGGGGAGAGAGCATGCTCACGCGCGTACGTATATACTCAGTTGTTGGCGTTTCGGCAACGAGCGTGCTGAGTTCTACACTCCGAGTTTCTTAGTAAGCGTCGGGGGGGCGGCACCCCCGCCGACAGCCCCACATCGAAAGCCGGGCAGCCACCGCGCGCCGAAGGCGCTCCGACCCCTGTCGCGGCGCGACGACGATGCGAGGTTGATCCCCGTCGGGGGGGTACCCCCCACGCTTAAAAAAAAACCCAGAGTACCAACTGTTCCCGTGGATGCGGGCACGAGCCCCCATTGTGCGCCAGACGCTCGGCTCGTAGACAGGCAGAGCTCGAGCGCGGGCGCGCGATGGTCCTATGTTTCGTGTGTGTGTGTGTGCGCGCGTCGCCAGAATGGAAGCACGAGTCTGGACGATTGTTTAGGTGATGTTTGGGGTAAACAACGGGCCGCCATGGATTCGTGATGCGGTAGCCAGAAGATGGAAGAGACCTACGCTACACCCGTAGACTTTTGGTAGTACATGTTTGCTGAATGCGCGCCGCGCTGAGTCGAGAGCCACATGGTGAAAACAACATGGGATGCATGGGGTGCACTCCTGGAGCTGCTGGGGACGTTCAAGACGACTGGGTGAGGCGCTAGGGCGAGAGCTTCATCTGGAAAATAACCTGTGGTGCATCCGCGTAGCTGTCGGAATCCTATATACCATGTTTAATCAATGTGAGCTCCAACCTTCTAGCTGGTGCAATTTCTAAAGTCGAGGCGAGAGACACATGTTTGAAAACTCGTGCTCCATACGCGTATGTGTCGGGAACTTTCAAGACTGATGGGGACGGCGCTGAAGCCATTGCGAGATTTTGGAAGACCGACTCGTGCTCCATACGCGTCACAGGTGGGAAGTTACAAGATGGATGTGCGCAGCGCCAAGGCGAGAGCTACTGCTTGAAATGCACTCACGCCCCACCCGGGCACGTGGGAACCCTCAAGACGAATTGCCGGCGCGCTGCATTCAGGCGATCCCCCTATCCTGAAGGCCACCCGTGCTCCCATCCGCACACCTGGCGCGAGCTTCCGCGACGAGTCCGCGCTGCGCTGGCGCGAGGGCCACACTCTGAGGCCCACGCGTGTGGCCCGCTGACCTCGGCCCGGGCGGGCGGGCGGCGGGGCACTCCCGAAGGGGGGCATGGCGCGGCGCAGCGCCCGACCCAGGCCTACGCCGACGGCCGCGTGTACCAGGGCGAGCTGCGGGAGGACCTGGAACACGGCAGGCCCGGCGCCGCGGCCGACTGCCAGACGAAAGTGTTTGTGGGAGGCGAGGGGACGGAGGGCGGTGATGGGCAAGGGCATGGCGGCGGCGATGCGGGCTCGCGGCTGTCCCCAAGAACCGAGGTGTACGCGGAACAGCTCTCACCCCACAGCCCCCTGGGGCGGGGGGGAACGCCAGGCCGCTGGCCCGAGTCTGCCCCGGGCGCACGGGGACCGGCGGAATGGCGGAAGCCACATCACACAACGCAAGGAGGGCGGAGGGATCGGCCCGTGGCAGGGGGCGCGGTCATGGCCAATGCACGCCACGGCCCTTCCGATCGAGGCTCGTGCCTCCATGTGGGACGACTGCGTCGGGGAAGACCAGCCTGGAGGGACCGAGGGGCGGAGGGAGGATCGGAGGAAGGAGGAAAAGGAAGAGGGAGGAGGAGGATCATGAACGCAGCGGGAGGAGCACAGGGAGGAGCTCAGGGAGGAAGCGGGCAGGAGGCGAGCGAGGAGGAGGCTTCCGCAGGCCGTGGTTACCGGAGGAGGGCCAGAGCCCCCCAAGGCATCAATCTTCCTCCTCCCCCCCAGAGCAGGAGCAGACGGATACACAGAAGCCTCGATTCTCGAACCTCCTCGAACCCTCGAGGCCCAGTCGTGGCGACGAGGAGCCTGCAGGAGCCCCAAGAAACGGCGAGAAGCCGCGCGGGATCCTTGATCCTCGAACCTGGAGCCTGGATCCTCGAAGATCGATCTCCCCAAGCGGGGTGCAATGTAACATATTAGTCTTTCCGTCGCACCGCGGCAGAGGCAATCCGCACGCGCGCTCGAGTGATCCAGGCAATGGCCGACACGAATTGTCTGGCGGCAAAAGGGAGAGGCCCAGGCGGAGGGCGGAAGAGAAGGGATGGCTTTCACCGCACGAAGAGCTTCGACTTGGGTGGCCGGGGCGGCCAGCCTGCGCCAGGGCAGCCTGGCAGTGGACGATGGGCGCTTGCAAAGCAATGCATGTGATGCTTGCTTTTGCTCTCCTCCCCTCTCCCCTTCGTCCTGCCCCTGCCTTGCCGTACAGGCACGGTGCTCGTGAAAGCCAGAGTCCCGACTTGTACCGCCCGCGCGCCGGAAGGTGCCCTCCGGTAGGTGCGTGCCGTGTTGACGCGGCGGCGGCCTCAGCGCTGGAGTTCAAGGTTGAACGCCGCCATCGAAAAGCCGCGATCGTTCGAGAGCGACCGAGCCACGCGGAGTCAGAAACCAGAGTCGGGTCAGACGAAATGGAAAGTATATCGAAAGGAAGGGACTGCGGAAGCTGCTGCGAGCAATTGCTTCTGATCCCGCCGCCGAGCGCGTTCTTCGATACAGTTCTGCTCTGGCGCCGAGAGGCGCCAGGGAAACCAGCTGCGCGCGCTGACTCGCTGAGCCCCCCATGGGCCCCCCCACCAACCCTCCGCCCGCCCCTACAGAGCTCTTGAGTCATGGCTGTGCGGCGAGGCTGGTTTCGGCGTGCCTCTGGTCGCTGCCGTGCATGTGGGCTCCTCATGGCGGCCCGGCCTCGGATATTCCAGAGCTTGCACACTCCGCCCCGCCGCATGCTTGCGTAGAAGGGAAGGGCCGCCCACTGGGCGCCCTAGCCAGCACAAATGGGCTCATGCAACACACTCGAAGCAACAAGAAAAAGCTCGAGTCCTGGCTCCGTCGGGGTGTGTCGGGAGCCATGCGGTCGGTCCGTGCTGCGATGGCGAGGAGGACCATTCGTCGTCGCGGCACGTACCTGGCGCATGGCACTCAGTCTCGGCCGCAGGGGGCGCGAGGGAGGAGGAGGAGGAGGAGGAGGAGGAGGAGGAGGAGGAGGAGGAGGAGATGGATATTGAGCGCTGCGCTCCGAACAAGCTTTTCCTCGCACCGTTGCCACCCAGACGCGACGGCTCAAGCAAGCCGACGTTTCAAGCAAGCCAACATTTCTCCAGCGTGAAGAGCAGGAGATGGAGGAGGGACAGGTGGGAGGAAGGAGCAGGAGGGGGGAGGGGGAGGAGGAGGGAAGAGAAGGAAGAGGAGGAGGAGGAGGAGGAATGAGGAGGAAAATGAGTGAGGAGGAGGAGGAGGGAGGAGGGAGGAGGAGGAGGGAGCGGGGCCGATTCGCCGCCCGCGGCGGCGCAGGGGCGTGCTGCTGGCCGGCGGCGCCCGCGTCGCCGGCATCTGGCGCGCGGGGGAGTGCGTCGAGGAGCGCGGGCGCGGCGCCCCCGGCTCGAGGAGTCGCAGGCACGGAGTGAGAACAAGGGACGAGAAAGCACCCGGGCCCCGAGGAGGAGGAGGAGGAGGAGGAGGAGGAGGAGGAGGAGGAGGAAGGAAGAGGAGGAGGCACGGAGTGAGAACAAGGGACGAGAAAGCACCCGGACCCCGAGGAGGAGGAGGAGGAAGGAGGAGGAGGAGGAAGAGGAAGGGATGGGTGTCGAGTATCGAGGTGTCCGCCCCTGAGCTCGAACAGCTCGGCGAACTCAAGCTTAAACCACGTTTGGCGCTGACGCGTTGCATGTTTCATTGGACAGCCTCCTCGGCTGGCTGAGTTGTTCCTCGCCCGGGGAAGCATAGGGGTGACGTCTCCTGCAGACCCTCTGGCGCAGGAGCTGCGCGAGGCCTTCGTGCCAGCGCTCGACCCCGACGCCGCCGAGGGCGAGGAGAGCCGCGGGCCCGCGCGTCGTTCTGCTCGCGCGCGCGCGACCAAACCATCGGGCAATGGCGGCGCCGGCGATGACGACGCCGCCGCCGCCGACGGCAACGACGACGACGACGACGACGACGACGACGACGACGACGACGACGACGACGACGACGCCCGCTGGCGGCGACGGCGACGTCGGCGGCGGCGGAGGGCTCAGGAGCGCGGTTGAGGGCCAACGCCCTTTCTGTTGCCAGGGGTTTTGCCGTGGGGGGGGGGGCCTGGAGGCCCCCCTGCAAGACGGCCCACAAGAACGAGGAAGAAAAGGAGGAGGAGAAGGAGGAGGAGGGAGGAGTTGGTGGAGGAGGAGGGAAGGAGTGAAGGATATGGTGGGGGGTGGTTGGGTGGTGAGTGTGTAGGTGCGTGGAAGCGAAGAGGAAACAGGGAGGAGGGAGGGAAGGACTGCCTCGGGCTGCGGTGGGTCGCTTCCACTCAGCAAGGGGCCGCCTGGTTGTACGCGCCTCCATCCCGCCAGGTCCCCTGGCAATCGCAACTGGAGCGGAGCGGAGGTATTTTCCTTCAGGGTTTGGCGCTAGCATGGAGGAGGAGGAGGAGGAGGAGGAGGAGTAGGAGGAAGATGAGGAGGAGGAGGATGAGGAGAAGGAGCAGGAGGAGGAAGCAACAACCGTGCCCCACAGGGCGTGGTTGCCGGAGGGCACCCGTACCCCGCTGGACGCAGTTGGCGGAGGAAAGGGTGGCAATTGTGCCCTTCACGGCGTGGCTGGCGGGGGGCAGCCGTACCCCGAATGGCGTGGTTGGCGGAGCAGAGAAAGGAAGGAGGGAGGGAAGGGGAGGAGAGAAAGAAGGGAGGGAGGGAATGAGGGAGGAGGAGGGGGAGGAGGAGGAGGAGGAGGAGGAGGAGGAGGAGGAGGAGGAAGAAGCATAAGGCAGTTGGCTGAGGGTCGCCCCAAGGGTTCAGAAAGCAACACCCCCCGCGCGGCCGAAGTTTTGCGCGGCCTTCGCCTTGCCAGTGCCACTCCCGGCCGAGAGAGAGCGGCCGCTGGCAGACGCCACGCCGCGCTCCAGGTGCAGGGACCCAGGGTGGCACTCACGTGCAAGACGCGGACGAGCTGCAGTTCGAGTACGATCGAGAGTGGATACAGCTCGTCAGTTGTTCGAGTGGCACCACAGTGCCCACCAGCCACAACGGGCCCCATCAGGCGACAGTTGATGGACCTCCTGCCCTGGCACGTCGATCAGTGAATTGGCCGTTGCCGGTTCGCGAGAGGGCGTCGCGGCCGTTCTTTTTGCGGGTCCAGGTCCGCCGGTTTCGGTCCTAGGCCGTTTTCACTAAAGGGTGGTTTATTAAAGGGAGGTTTGTCCACCGCCGAGTATCTCGAAGAAGAATGGGGGGGATGAAAAAAAAAACGCTATAAACATAATTGCTTAACGCTCCGCGCGGAGTTCTTGGATCCGCGCTGGGGCCCCCCGGCGGCGCCTCCGGCGCCGCCCCTGGCGCGCTCCGCGCGCCATGGAGCTACATCAGCAGTCATTCACGCTATTGCGCCAATACCAACGAAAGGCTCGTGGGGACAACATCTTGCCGCTTCAGGCGGTTCAGAACAATGCATATACCTAGGCGCATGGCCCTTTGACGAAAAATGCCCGTGTGTTCAGGACGTCGGAGGCCTGGGACATAGCGACTTGCCGCAACCGCGCGGCGCGCGCCCCGGCCCATGGCCC